CGTGTGTTATGTCTTAAGAGATTAAAAAGACTGAAATGCTGTAGAAAATTAGTTTATCGATTTTGAATCATTCAACTATTAATGTTACTAATGCAGTAATGTATTATTCTCATGCTTTTCATTTCCTAGTATTTCCGATGTAGTTTTTACATTATTGTCATAGCTTTGTATTTTTATAGTATATTACCCCCAACGTATGAAATATTTTTTTTTCAAAATTTCAAAGCTTCAAATGTATTTCATTAGGAGCACTCTTGAAAACAGTATTTTTTTTAATCAACTATTATGCTAATGAGCATTTTGAATATTATTGGCATGAACTTTTAGCCTGGCATGGCCTGATGGTTCGGGCAATCGACCCGTAATCTGTGGGTCGCGGGTTCGAATTTCATCACCGAACATGCTCATCCTATCAGCCGTGTTGGCGTTATTTGTATGGTCAATCCCACTATTAGTTGTTAAAATAGAAGCCCAAGAGCTGGCGATGGGTGACGTTAATTAGCTGCTTTCCCTCTAGGCTATCGCTTGAAAATTAAGGACAGTTAGCGCAGATAACCCTCGAGTAGCTTTGCGCGAAATTCAACTAACAAATGCTTTGAACTTCATGTTTACATCTATTTATCGAGAGATGGCGCTGTTCTCCGAACTGCTGTTCATCGTCTGCAATGTTGCGTGCATGGTATACAAGATATGATGTGCTATGAGAATTGCTATCAGCTAAGGTGGCAGTGTATAATAAATAGACTCATTAATTATTTCTAGGATGTTGTGTGTTTCTTCTATAGTAATGCTGACTTGCAGTTGCGGTCAGGCAAGCTCACTTTCTTGGATTGATCTCCGTGAGGGAGGAGAACAGACATTGTCACGCAAGTGTTATTAAAGGTATCATGTTCTGTTTTTATTTCATGCCGAGTAGACTTTTATGTCTGTGAGATATTGTTTTCTTTTTCTCTCGATCTCTCACGCACTGCTATACCATTGTTAGTCAGTCTATGGATGTATTTGATTAGACTGTTGAGGAGGATAAACTATACGTAGTTTTGAATTGATGAATTTCAAAAATATTATTAGATAAAAGTCTTGATCGCTTTCATTAGATTATTTTTGAACTTTCATAAAATTTTAATAGATATTCATCGGTTTTTATATTCATATCGTGGCTTTTCTTCGAGTACCCAATATTTCATATTCTAGCATTGAAAACATTAAGCAAGATGTAGCTCAGCTCTTTGAAAAATTACTTATTAAAAATAACCCATTATATAGATTAAGCTTAAAATAATTCGCTGTTAACAATATTTTTAACCATAATCCAAATAATAACTCACGAGGTTCCACCGCTTTAGCAGGCCTAGAATAGTCCCTCATATACATATTAAGAGAACTGTGTATAATAATCTTCATAAGTATGTTTATAATGAAAACTTACTCAAACATTATTATAAATATTATAACCAACAAAACTGAACTACATGTCAAAAATGAGTAGGTTATTAGTTGCTAAAACGGTAAGTTTAGTTGACGGTTAGATCTTTGCAACAGTTGTCGATCGAGCTTATTCGGAACAAAAATTTCATCTGAAAAAAAAAATTAAACTTTTTATTGCCCTCTTAAAGCCCCTAAACATCATATGTGTTTTAATTCTGTATTGTGTTCAACTATACCTAGTGTTTTAATTCTGTATTGTGTTCAACTATACCTAGTATTTTAATTCTGTATTGTGTTCAACTATACCTAGTATTTTTATTCTGTATTGTGTTCAACTGTACCTAGTGTTTATTGAAGAAGCTCTCTTTTTGCATTTTTTTTTTAATAATGGTGTTACTGCAGTCTTTTATGCATTAGAGTATTAGTGTTACATCAATAACGCCATGTCAGTGCTACTTTGTATTTACATCTTTGAAATGACAATAAGGTTTTGGGAGTTACAGCTTATAATTACAAACTAAATCTGGACTAAATGAAAGGAGAAAACACTTGTGTACAGTTTATTGGTTATCATAGCTAGATATTGTCACTACCACATTGTCGCACTTAGATGATATTGAAAGTAATGGACATGAGAGAACACAGATGGTTCCTCATCCATTATGACTATGTCAAACATACCGTGAAAACCGCTGGAACAGCATCAGCACATTACAAGTTAATTTTCTGGCCCAATAACTTAGTGTTAAAATTAAATAAAAAGGAAAGTTTCAATTTCCCCTACCAGAAACATGTTTACAGAAAGCATGAATAAACTTGTAGTATCTTGATTTGAGATGGGGATATCGTTTGAATGCAGAGTTGTGCATGAACAGATACGGTTATTGTTTAGAATTGTCGTCATTCAAATTCATAGCAAGGTATGATATAATGACTATGAAGTTTTATATTTAATGTCTTATTTGGGACATAAGCCTTGATATCTCCTAAACAACTGATACAAATAGCAAATTCAACTAAGACTGTAAGGGTATAACCAAATGTGTTCTGATAGGGGGTCGAGCAGCATATATCATAATGTAGTAGCAATACTATCGTACACTGTTCATACTGAAACATTTGGACAAGTAAAGAAATCCCGAATTCTTACATAATATACACAAATCGAAAAATAAAAAGGAGGGACAGTTATGAAATATATGAGCAATGCAACAAAATAATAAAGATATATAATTAATGAAAAACACAATTTAGATGAGCGTAATGTAGGCGCAGAACAGTTTAAGGGAACAACAGGTTGACAACTTAATTAGAATGTAACAGTATTTTCTTTTATATTTACGTTATTCGTGGAATTCTACTTATCAAATTATTTCTTCCAAATTCTATATTTTAATGTTACGAAAATAATTCCTTTTAGTTATTTGCAAAAGTCTTCTGTATTTATGGGATTTTATTTTTCAATGATCTTTTTCTATAATTAGACTGCCTGTTTGACTTGTAAAAGTATACTTTTTCAATTATAGGAAATTCAGAATTGAAGGTTGATAAGAATGATTGTTATACATCATATCACTCAACTATTATATTTAGTTGCTTTAAATATTAATTACACGTACATTAACAAAGACAAAAAAAGGTTTATGGATTTTACGATGTTAAAATCCGGAGTTCGATTCCCCACGCCCCTCTGTGGTTGGCAGAGCACGGATAGCCCTTTGTGTAACTTTGTGCTTAATAACAAACAACAGCAACAACGATTCCCTACGATGGGCAGAGCGCATATAGCCCATCGTGTAGGTTTGCGCTACAATAAACAAATTCCATGACGTAATAAAAAACATGAACAACAATGACAACATTAAAGTAACCATAGCTTGCATTTCTATTGGCTCTTTCGTTAATATGGATGAGTACAGAGGTTAAGTACGTTACATTAAAACGATTTTGGAGCCACGTGCGGTCATGCTCTGTATGATTACAATGTAGCTTTAAACTAGCCTTGCAGCGTAGTTTCCATTGCAAAAAGCTTTGTCATAAAACTATCATGTCCGAAGCACATTACTCCTTTCGGAATGTTTTCCATAATCCATCAAGCTAAGAGAACAAAGGTATCCGGCACTCATTTTGACGGCCCAGAAATCCATAAGCGTTGTGTCTGTCGTCTTGAATAGTATATTTGCGTATGTTATGTAACAGCATGAATACTCATTTCATTCTTCAGCTGCTTGAGGTACGCGATGTCTAAAAGGATATATGGTAGAAACAACTTGTATGCACGTTACGTTTTTCGCTTTTTCAGACGGAGATCCATAAGTTTCGTACGGTTGCCTGGGACACGTGGACGGTATTTGCCACTGAACCTTTTCGTTCATGAATTTTCATCTGTTATAAGACGCTATTGCTTATCACGACTGGGGCACGAACTCTTACGGGCCTCTTTCTGGATGTTACTGGGTCCCTATTGATCTACATTAATTTGTTTTCCAATTCCATTATGTATAAAGGATATTCCAGTCTTGAAAATTCTGAATGTCCGCTCTAGTCAAATCATTATGATATGAATGTATGAATATTTTGCGCCTGAAAGGGTTGTTACAATCTTCCCCATAAACGATCAGTGGCATCACACTACCTACTAAACGCTAAGAAAAGTCAAAGTGTAATTCTTACATATTCAGTTCCACTGCAATTTTAGATCGGCTGTGGTTGTCGTGTGCCTTGCTGAGTTGCTTATTAAAAGTACTCAATCCTCTGTATCCTGTAACTTTATTTTTCTTTTATAATTGTTATCAATTCTAACAGAAACGTGGCTGTAAGAAAACATAGTTGCTTATTTTTAGTGTTTCTCTTTGATATTTTATTTTTATAACTTATAGTGATTATCAATGTTCAAAACTTACACTCTAAGTTAACAAAAGAATTCTATATCTACATTGCTTCGACTATTAAATCCAGCATTTGAAATTTGTGTAAATTGAGGAAAAACTAAAACGAACCTTAAAAACACATTTAAAATTTTTGCTGTTCATGTTTCAAATTTGTATTTTACAATGTTTTAGAATGTTTTGACTAAAGTGTCACATACCAAATATGTACATAAAAGAAGCGTTGTTTATATATTAAATGTCACATAGCTTATTCAAACTAAAACTTCTTGATATGGGGTCAAGTGATACCCTGTGTTTTTAAGATGACCTCGAGTACACGTTGTACTTGTTGTGACATTGAACTTCATCTGATCTTCTAATACTCTTGCAGAGACTTTGATAGGACCATAGTGGGGGCGTGACTAACAAGTGGCCCGTTTAATTTTCGACCAATCGTAATGGACCAATGGAATACTTACGTTACTTGGAGCATCAAGTTGGTGGGGATCTATGTTTGAGGTCACGAGCTCATAAAGCGGAGGCTCGAGCATTGAACAATGGGCAGTATATAGTTGTATGTGCGTGTCTCTCATCTCGAAGTATTCTGACAACACAAGAAAGATTCGATGTTAGCTAACCAAACCTGTAGACTAGTCACAAAGTGTTGTTTTTATTAAAATTAATTACACTGTAGTGGTTGTTGGTATAAGTTATCTTGTCTTCAGAAATATGATTTAGTTACAAAGTGGCGTATTAGGAATTATAAACTCTTTCCGCTACCGTAGGAGATCATGCGACCACTCGTTGAGCTGACCAGTGGTCAGTCATCTCCTGAAACCCCACCCAACAGAGAGACGGTAATTCAAAGTGTTACCGGTTTTTATAAAAATCAATCTGATCGTAATTTAAACCACCTCTTGAATTTCTACTATGATAGGAATGGTCACTATTCAGAAGAGGTAAGTATTGTTATAAGTATGAAACAGTTAACAGTAATATAGTTAGAATGAGTGATATTAGAGCTTGCACAGTCTTGAAGATTTAAATATGCACATTTATCTACTAGAAATTGTTTCCCACAGTTTTTAATCTTTTAGTTGTGTCCAAATGTGTAAAAACGGAATCCTAATCGTTTATGAACGCATTTATCTCGACTCCCATTTGGGGAAATTGTTGTTGTTTGAACTAACACTGCAAGCAAAGAATCTAAATGAAGCTTTTTTTAGAATTTCAACTGGTCGTAAGTATCTGAAATAACACAACTCTGCAGAGTGAGACCTTGATTCTTTAAAGATTCTTGAGCCTCACAATACGGTGGCGCAATAGTATGTCTGAGGGCTTATAATGCTAAAAATCGGGTTTCGATACCAACAGTGGGCAGATAACCCATTGTGTAGCTTTGTGTTTAAAAACAAACTAAAAAAATAAAAATTCCCGAACTTCTGAAAAAGTCTGTTTTTGGTAAATGCGGGTGTTAATAATCTAGTCATATCTTTATAGTTTTATTTTATTATTAATTTTAATACAAATAATGGGCATATATAGTCTAAAGTCTGGATTAAAATATTGAACGGAATAAACATTTTTTCTGCAATGGGCGTACAAACCTTACGTTGTTTTTCTGTTTGTTTACTGTATAAAGTTTCACAGTAGTCTGTCTGTGCTCTGTTCACCATGGGGAATGGAGCTCTTGATTTTAGCATTGTACCTCCTGAAACTTACTTCTGGCCCTCCAGAATGAAATAATTTCGATATCTTATTTGATATAAAATCGTTGGAAAAATTTATTTCCTAATTAAATTTTTATGTCAGGTTGAGGATCCTAAACGAATAGTTAACATGTTTAAAGCCATTATTATGGTTTTGTTATCTTGTTAATATACCATGCTATGAACAACGTATAAATAGAGTTTTTCAGGAGTTTTGAGACGCACCAATTTGAACACAGTTGTAACTATTACATAAGTCCGACAGGTAAATTTGGCATGCCTCCAGTAAATATACATTGGAACGATTTGTCAGTATATTTCAGTGTGTGCTAAGCACGACGTGTGTAAAGTTTATGTTTTTTTTTTTTGTAAACTCTATCATCTGTTTTTGGGGTTGTTATTTACATTTGCCCTTTTTTGTATGCGTCAAGATAAAGCTTATAATTTCGTTCTGGAAAACAGAGTACGTGTACAAAAACAGTATTGTACGTTAATTTCTTAATTACTAAATCAGAGCCTATATGGCATAAATACACAATCTGTAGCAACGTCACTGGGATTCAACTTTTGTATCTAGACCGATGCATATTAGGAAATTGGAGCAGATCATGATTAATAAATTGTTCAAGAAAAGAATATTTCATTATGCATACTAGAAACAAACTTTCGTTCGTTACACGATTTCCATTTTTTTTTCTTTTGTTAAGTACATTACATCCAAATGAGAGCACTGATTTGTGTGGGTGGTGGGTGTGGGGAGTGAATCAAACAGATGAATTTACTCGGCAGCAGAGCAGCGGTATATTCCATGTTTTAAGGAAATTCATTACTGTACATTTATGTAGTAACTGAAAGCCAATTTAAGAAAAAGAACCATCGAACTTTGCATGATGGTTATATCATCGAGAAATGAAATTCTTTTGACGTCAAAGGTTAAGCTCTCATGGCAAAAGTTGTTGCTTGATAAATAGAAAGCACATAAGGATAGGGCCATCAATTCAATTTCGTTCAATTTCTTGGGAAAAAAAAAGGTCATTTTTTAAGTTCTGAAGACAAATCCATAATTATTTCTTCTTGTTGGCTTCTTCCCTTGCAACAAGCTGTAAGTATACAGTTAGTATACTTTCTCGATTAAAGGTCAAGTTCATAGCTATTTGTGGGGTAGGTTGCGTTCTTAAAGATTGCTATGCTATTTTGGAGCATAAAGATTAGAGGGAAAGACTACAGTCATTTTATGTTTTTTTTTATGTCCTTCAACATATGTTACTCGAGAAGTCTAAAGGTTGCCAGGTGGCATTCCCGTGGTTATTTATTACTGGGTTATTTTCTTAAAGTATTCTACGTTTAAAGTCAAAGTCAAATCCAGGTCATCTTTTGGTGGGTTTTGTTAAAATATGCTACTTTACGAATCTAAATGTTAGAGGGTACGTCCACAGTCGTTTCTTGGTGGGTTAATCTTATAAAATATTGTATTAATAGAGCTTAAAGGTCAGAGGGCAACTGCGTGGTTATTTTGTGATTGACTATGTTTTTAGTTAAATAAGAACTGTACGTTTTTCAGCAAAATAGCTGTTAAGTTCTAAATGGTTATATGTGTTTATATTCTCTGTTCTCTCTCAAAAGTTTCTCTCCGGTACATTTCTTACTTAAACTAAAGAAGTACCGAACTCAAGAATTAGCTAAAATAGGCCCGCCCCGCTTCAATGGATTACTAGGTTAACAAACAGCTGAGCTGAGTGATTGAAGGTTTTGGTGGGAGACGATACAGCCAAGTATTGATCAAACCTACCGAGCTTCTGTCTATAAACTACAACTGATATTTGATTTATAAGAGAAATGCCTCTTTAGCTGAAAATTGGTTCTGAAGATCAGCGTGAGGATAAGAAGACTGTATTATTACTGAAAGAGGAGGAGAGCTATTTTTATATTTCTCTATACCATACTTTGTTGGAGGTTTTTTCAATAGACATTTTCTTTAATACGTGAACAAACTGTATGTATTTTCTCTGTGAAAATGTATCAGTCGAACTATCATCATTTTAGCTGTCGTCGTTAACCTGTGACTACGCCAGTATCAGAGTTAGTAATTTGCCAAAATATAGTCTACAATATAACGTCGAGAGTTATTATTGGTATTTAATTAGATGTGTCTAATTTTCAAACATTTCGATACTTCATGAATGGTAAGCTTAAAAAATAAATTGAATTATTAAAAATTCATTGCAGTGCTGTAAAGATATTCAAGACTGAAAATAGCAAAATTCATAAATAAACCCACATTTTGTATTAAATCAATCTTAGATGCATCTACACCTTTCCGTAAATTAAAGTGATTTTAACGATGTTACAGTTGTCAGAGGTTATGGTTATTATATCGAAAAGTATGTATTATATCTATCTTTTGTATATTTTTGTCTCCGCAGAGAGATATACTGTTTTCCTATAATTTCTTGAACCCCCCCCCCCCAGTGGTACAGCGGTGTGTCTGCGGACTTACAACGCCTAGAAACCGGGTTTCGATACCCGTGATGGGCAGAGCACAGAAAGATCATTGTTTAGCTTTGTGCTTAACTACAAGCAAACACGTTTCAATCGACCGCCATTCCTTCATTTCTAGGCGGATTGACTAGAGAGTTGGTAGGGTTATACCTTCATCAAATACGCCCAGACATTTTTTTTTATTTCTATTTTAGCCTTTTATGGAGTCAAATGTCAAACAATCCAAAAATGTATATTTTGGGCTTCTTTACAGCAATTAAAATGAAAATTGGCAAAATATATAAATGTTCATGCTCCCTACACAGTTGACATGCAAAGAAACTGGATTTGTCTATTTTGAGTCATTTTAGGGGGAATAGAGCTTACAAAAAAACATGATTTTGGGGGTTTTAGTCAATCACTCGACTATATTTAAACCAATTTACATGGGATTTGTATAAGTCCCACAGACTGACAAACAAAAAATGGTGAACTTGCCCATTTTTAGATGCCACAAATAGCATAATTTCACGTTTTTGTTTTGTTTGTTTGGTAATTCCTCCACCATATTTTAGCTAACTTAAATGGGATTTGATAGAAAGATATTTTGTTACAAGTCTCAAGCACTGATGTAGACAGTTTTCTATTTTATGTGTTTTTAATCATTCTTCTAGTGTCCAAATTGGGATTGCGTGGGGGAGACATGTTGAATTCGCCCCCAAGTGTTGGCCTCTTTAATAATCATTCGTACTTATATTAGATATTTCTGGTTTCACTTAATATGTGTCATACGGATTTCAGTGAAGAGAATTAACTATTGCTTCTAAACTAAACAAATAAACCAAACTCAAATGACTCCTGTTTTATAAAACACCAAACAGCTTAGTGAAAGAGTTGGATTACAGAAGCTGTTTGAATTATTGTATTATTTTTTTGTTTTGAATTTAGTTAACTTCGTATATTTTATAAAAAATATATGAACTAAGTGAAAGCAAGTCTTCTGAAGAAGACAGTAATGTTCTTTGTATTGTGTTTTTTTGTTGTTGTTTTTTTTCAGGTATTCGCGTAAAACTACATAAGGGCTGTCTGCGCTAACTGTCCTTTGAATTGAAATATTAGTGAGTAGAAAGACAGCAGCCACCATCAAATTTTGAACTACGTTAATCGAACAGTGATTTGACCGCCACTCTTATAAAGTCCCAATAGCCCCAAAGCGCTAAGCACACAATTTTGCGGCAACAGTACACGAAACGTGAATCCTCGAACTCATACTCGGGTACGCTAACCACTAGAATACACCCGTTATTTCTAATTTAGTCAAGTAAGTAAGGCCGGTTGCCCTTCAGTAGCTTAGCGGTAAGTCTGAGGGTTTAAAATGCCAGAAATCGGGTTTAAAAATCCGCGATGGACAGAGCGTAGATAGCCTATTGTATAGCTTTGTGCTTAACAACCAATAAACAAAAAGCAAGGCGGAAATATTAACTTGAACGTTTTATATTCTATATAAATTATCTCATGAAAGAGATTTACGTGAAATATTTTATTTATAAGTGAAAATTTCATACCGTTATATATGTATGCTTGCTTAATTACGTATATGGATTAAACTTCAGTTTCTAGGTACAAAATTGGAAAAAAATTCTCAAGTAATTGAAATTGATCACACCAGTGGACGAAACGTCATCCTTGTTCTACAAAATAATCTTCCTTACTGTAAAATCTGTAACTTGTATTAAAATAAAGAAATTAAATGAATAATTGCTTTGTGGACA